GAACCAGTTTTGCTTCCACAGCACATGCAGGGGGATTAACTAATATGCTTTTGCTCTTGGTTTAATACCTCAGTACTTAGCCCTAGATAAGAGATGCTGGGCTTCCATTCACACAAATCCCAGCCTGGATAGCGATGAGAAAGTTATAATCTGGCATTATAGGTAGCCCTCAATTTATAACCACAATTGGGATTGGAACGTCCTTTGCTAAGCAATGCGCCTCTTATGTGAGCTGTGCCCAATTTTATGGCCTTTTTTTGCCATGGTCATTAAGCGAATTGCTGCAGTGGTTAAGTGAATCAGGCAGTTGTTAAGCGAATCTGGTTTCCTCCCCATTGACTTCGCTTGTTGAAACCCTCTGAGGTGGTCATATGTGGTGAACATGTGACTGGAGGTGCAGCCACTTTTGTAAATATGCAAAATGTTGATCACATGGGGAACACAGAGTTATAAAGGTGAGGAGCAACTGATCCCTTTTTTTTAGTAGTTTTAAATCATTAAATGAATGCTCATAAGTTAAGGACTATCCGTATTTAAGGTTCAATGCCATCAGACAAGGGGATTTCATGGATGTCCCTATAGGCCCGGTTCCCTTACTTAGGAAACAAAGTTATCCATGGATCTCGGAACATATTTTTAAGATGTGCATCCAGGAATGCTAGAATATTTAAAAAAAAAAAAGGGGGGGGGAAGAGAAATAAACTCAGCATTCAGATGCTGAAAGGTGTTTTTGTATTCTGGGATCTGGTGTAGAATCAAAATCAGAATAGAATTGGAAGGGACCTTGGAGGTCTTCTAGTCCAGCCCCCTGCTCAAGCAGGAGACCCTATGCCATTTCAGACAAGTGGCTGCCCAGTCTCTTCTTCTACTTTGCTTATGGTTTTCTCAGAAGCAGGTCTCCATTCTTGTCCAATTTCCAAACATTGGTGTTGTTTGGGTGCTTTAAAAGGAGAGCACATTCTAGTTTTATATCGTACGTCATAAACATTGTAGGGTCCACATTCAAAATTTCATTTTGTCTCCACTCTACTTTGATGCCACGCATAAAATAAGTCACAGCGGGGGGGGGGGAAGGAATTCTCTTCCAGGCAATTAGTAAGGATAGACTGGGTACTCATCCTGACAAACGGTTGAATAATTTTCAATTGTGCATGCTAGTGCAGGGGTAGACATCCTTGGCTCTTTTATGACTGGTGGACTTCAACTCCCAGAATTCCTGAGCCAGCATGGCTCAGCATGGAAACCTCTCCCTTTCCCCTCAGCATGGCTGGCTCAGGAATTCTGGGAGTTGAAGTCCACGAGTCATAAAAGCCAAGGTTGCCTACCCCTGAGCTAGTGGGATGTTTCTCCACTTTGGCTGCTTTAAGATGGGTAGACTTCAATTCCCAGAATTCCCCAGCCAGTTTTTGAAGTCTACACACTTGAGGTTGAGAAACACTGCACTGCAGAATTGCCAGATTCTCTTAGACCACAAAGCCAACCTCTTCTTAATTTAAGATGGATCTAAAACTTGTCTCCCTTTGAGGAGAGTTTTGTTAAGAGTTTGAAAGAGAGGAATCTTGCTGCAGAATCCTGTGTGTTTCTACTCGGAAGTAAGCCCTAGTGAATTCAGTGGGGCTTTTTTTCCCCCAGGTAAATGCGTATGGAAAGCAACCTCGGGAAAAAGAAATCTGCAACTTCATTTTGCCGGGATTTAAAAACAAAAAAGCAAAATAGCTTATTATTTGAAAGAGTGGATCGCTAGACCTTTTTTTCCTACAAAAAACAGGCTTTAAACTCATTTCTGATTTATGCTTCATCTTTTAAGCTCCTTTCCACGTTTGACAGATACTCATCTTGTTCCAAATCCTCTTTCCTTATTGAACAGGCCCTGGCCTAAATCAAAATAGGCCCTCTTCCAGGCTATCTTGACTATCATTTGATAACCTAAAGCTGTTGATCAACAGGCCTTGTGCAACTCATGATAAAATTTCTTGTGCTACATGAAGCCATTAAAATAAACCCCATAGGACCTCCAAAAACTCAATGCAGCTGTGGGGAAATAGATTGCAGAGGGAGGACAATTGTGTGCAGATGCCAAATTTGGCTTAACCATAGTAATTTTAAGCTGTCTGGATTTCAGCTCCTGAAATTCCCAAGCCACTCTTACTGACTGAGGAATTCTGGAAGTTGAAGTCCATACAGCTTAAAATTATTATGGTTAAGAAACATTGCATCCAGCTATTTTGGCCAGGGTGCAATGGCTTATTTTGGGGAATGATTTGGATCCCTCCCCCAAATAGTGCTCCTTCAGCATCTTTCTCCAGCCTGCAAACAATTGAGTTTTTTAAAAGTTTCATTTACTGTGAGTTTCATTTGGGCTTTATGTGGGTCTAAATAAAGAGGAGAGGCACAATTGTCTAGGTGAGCCAGAGCAAGCAAAAAACGTGGGAGCCATGAGGCAGAGGCAACAGGTTTCTTGGGTGGAAAAAAAGATGCAGAATCCATTCTAATGGGGGCAATAAAACCTCTTTGGGGGGGATTTTTCCCATCCCTTTCTTATTCTTGTACAGTTTTGCCAAAACAATAAAATATATTTTTCCCACTGACGATTTTCCATTCTTTCTAGTGCTCCTTTGGAGAAGGTAACATTCTCCCCAAAGGTTTCCAAATAAATTTAGCCATCATGGGCATAGAAGGAGATGTACTTAGAATACACAGATAATGCTAAATTCAGGATGTAAAAACTGGTTCATGGGCCACAGGTTGCTCAGTTGGAGCACCGAATGTGCGACATTTTGGGTTACATTTGAAGCAATGAGTGTTTTAAAGTAGAGGTCCCCAACCTTTTGGGCACGCGGTTCCATGGAGAGAGGTTTTTCCGCGGACTGGAGGGTACGTGATTTTCTGTGCTGCCTGCATCCCGCAGATGGGGCTTTGCTTGTTTGTGCGGACTGGTTGCTGGCATGCCGTGGCCCAGTACAGGTCCACGGACCGGGGGTTGGAGACCCCTGTTTTAAAGCTTGTTGAGGCCTATGGTGATCAATTTGCCGCTCAATAAATTCAGTGCTCCAAAAAACCAGGCCCAGGGAATGCTGATTTCTCTTATACCAGGGGTCCCCAACCCCCAGGCTGTGGCCCACGGCCTATTCGGAACTGGGCAACGCAAGCGGAGGGCAAGTTCAGCTAGACGCATGCGCACCAGCCCAGCACTTGTGGCCTGGCTCCTCTCTCCGCTGCCAAGCCACAAAGGTTGGGGACCTCTCTCCCATACCACTCTCACCATTTTTCAAAGCTGGATGGACTTTCCTGCCAACAAAAATTGTGCACCTTTTGCTACTTACAATGGCAATGCAGTCTTAAAAAGCCACAACTGACTGGATTCATACAAGACAGTATAACTATAAGCTGTGTTTTCCCAACTCCATAGCTAGATGGTGGAGCTAGTATACACAGCTAGTACACACACCACACACAAAGTCCCAAAACTAAGGCGTAGCATAAAGTCTTACCCCAACTTTAGTGAAAAGATTAAGAAACCGGGGTCGTTAAGGGAACATCAAGGTTGTTAAAGCAAATGGTTTGCTATGGTTGTGGTTTTGACAAAAATCGAAAGTGCATTGTTTTTTTGGCAAAACCCTCGCATGCTGCAAATAGCCATAAATGGGGCGGTGTTGCCAAATGCCTGAAATTCAATCACATGACTGCAGAGGAGTCAAATTCAGATCCTAAGTCCCTGTTTTCAGGTCCTCATAACTTGGAACGGTCACTAAGTGATCGTTGTAAGCCGAGGACTACCTTGCATATTGCAGCAGTCTGTGCTTTTCCCTTCTAAACAGGAGTATTTTTCTCTCAATGACTGTTCCTTCAACTGGATAGGAATCACGGGTGAATTTAATTGAAGCATTGGTTAACTGACATCACGTCCTTTCTCACGTCCCCAAATGAAGGCACAAATCATTATCCAAGCAACTTCTGGACCACAAAATACTGTTATTCCAAGACTAAACAATGTCCGGTGGTCAACCTTTTCCTCAACAACCCTAAATGTTTCCCAACACTGTTGGAAGAGCTGGAGATGGGTGGATGAAGCATTAACGACCAACGGCACACATTCCCATGTTACTCCAACAGAACAGTAAGGGATTAATAACCTTCCTCAAAGAGAGAGAGAGAGGAGAGGGAGAGGAAAATACCCACCAGAGCACATGCCTTCTCAAAACTCGGGCAGTTTTCCCTGTCAAAAAAGGAGCCAAGATAAGTTCTTTGGGGATCCCCTGGCCTCAAGTTAAAAGAATATGCAGCCACTTCCAGTGGGATCCTGTAATAGGTCTTCTTCCCTGCCTCTCTTTCAAATAATCTTCACAATCACTTCCTGTGGCAGGAGGTGGAACAAGGTAGACTCCCCACCACCACATCTCTATCACCCTACCCTTGCTTGCACTCCAAAATCCCTCTTCCCTGATTCGTGCACTTTTACACAGAGGCGGGCCTAGCCACTTTTGCCCAACAGACAAATTGATTGCCAATTGAGGAGCAAATGCTATTGAAACGGGGGGGGGGGGGGGGAAGGGGGGGGAAATGAACCCCATTCATCCTCCTGCTTTTATGTAATCTGGAAAGAATGAGTAGTCCGCATGTGCTTGCTTCAGCTCTCTCCAATCTTCCGCCATTATTCGAGATTGCCCTCACGTTTGAGATCTTCCTTCGAAGAATAGACATGGGTCGTTCTTAGCATAGTTACTCCCCATTCAATTCATAATTAGGTTGGGGTTGTATATAGACATTTGTATACCACTTGAAGAAGCAGCCCTATTATGGTTTTAATTCTCAGGGGGCAGGGGAGAGGAGGAATGAAAAAAAAAAAGAATTTTACTCCATCTGGATTACACCCCACCATATAGTATTCACCCCCTTCTGTCTCTCCTATGCATTCAAGCAAAATCCACCCACCCAAAACTGGTCTGTCCGTCTGCCCCCCCCCTCCCATCACCCACCCACCCAATATCAAAGTCCTTTAGTTCTGTTCTTTACACTTTAGTACAGGTTAAGCTCAGCGGGGTCCAGCCGGTTATACACTGAGCAACCAGAAGAAAAAGAAGATGGCAATGAAAAGAAATAACGAATCCTGCCAACTGGATGGTCTGGCCGCCTCTGTCTCTGCGGAAAAGGGGAAAAAAAAAAAAAGTTAGCCAAGGTGAAATCTAAAAGCAAGTTGGACGCATTCAAATAAGTTAAAACACCGAACTGCTCACTAACACCGTCATAGCTCTTTGCTATCGGTTGGTAATCAAGAGCTTTTCCATCGGAGAGTCCAACTCCTCCGTTTCTGTCTGGGATCCCTGAGCCGGTACTTCAAATGCCACTGATGAAATTTTGCTACATCAAGGGCTCCGAGAAAGGAGAATGTAGCTCAGAGTTGTTGTTGTTTTTCCTGGACTTTTTTTTTTTTATTAAACATTTTATAAAAGTTTTACAATATAATTTCCCCCCCTCCCCAAAACCCACCCTTCCACTCCCCCCTCCCTCCCCCCCCACTTCCCAGAGCCAATCACAGGGTTAACAATACAATAATCATACTCTATCTAACATTAATCAACTATTAAAATAACAAATCTATAACATCCTTTAACTCTCTTTTAAACAAATATACTAATATTAAACACAATAATTATAACATCATATTAATAATTAGAAATAAAAACAAATAAACTATTATAACATATAAACTACATTAATACTCTAAGATTCACTCAAAAACCAAATGAAACTTTTTAGTCCCATATTTACTCTCAATATAATCTATCCATCTTCTCCAAACCGAGATATATCTTTCTTGTGAATAATCTTTCACATAAGCGGAAATCTTGGCCATTTCTGCTAAATTTGAGACTTTAAGTGTCCATTCTTCTATAGTGGGCAAACGTTCCGTTTTCCAACATTGAGCTACTAGTAGTCTTGCAGCAGTTATCAAGTTCAACATCAAGTCCATTTCTTTTGTATCCAAATCTTCCATAATACCCAGCAAAAATATCTGCGGTTTAAACTTTTGATGTTTCCTGTATTTTATACAGGTGGCCCTCAACCTACGGCCGCAACTGAGGCCAAAGTTCCGCCGTTGCTAAGCGAGAAATTTGTTAACGTGAATTTTGCCGCCTTTTACGACCTTTCTTGCCACAGCTGTTAAGCGGATCACCTCAATGGTTAAATCAGTCACGCGGTTGTTAAGTGAATCGGGTTTCCCCACTGACTTTGCTTGTCGCTGCAACCGTCGTAAATGTGAGTCGGTTGTCAAGCATCTGAATGTAAATCACGTGACCATGTGGATGCTGCCGAGGTCACAAGTGTAGTCCCCTTTTTTCAGTGCCGTTGTAACTTCGAACGGTCACTAAATGAACTGTTGTAAGTCAAGGACTCTCTAGCATTTATTTATTTATTTATAACATTCATAGGCAGCATATTTTACCTCAGGGTATTTTATTGTTGTAATAGATTGGGGTAGCCTATAAATTTCATAAACACAAACCAAGAAATCTACTGGTTTTATTTATTTATTTATTTATTTATTATATAATTTACATGGCCGCCCATCTCACAAAAAAGCGACTCTGGGCGGTGTACAATAACATATAAAAAACAATTATTCTTCAGAAAAATAAAATAAAATCTGCAAAGGCTTGAGAGTAGGCAGCAGATGTCCTTGCACTGATGGTGCTACCTAATTTGGGCAATGAAACGTCTCTGCAAGAAAACAACCAAGCTCAGAGAGCATCAAGGACCCCTCACACCAATGGCTGTTTCCCATTTGCCAGGCGGGTAGCAATGGGCATGTCTTGGGCACGGCAGCCAATCAATGTTTAGGAAAAATGCATGTGGCTCTCAAGCCTCAGCAGTAGTTCTATAAAGGCAGCTACTCTACATTCCCATCTCTGTTCCTTGGAGGACTAACAGGGAGGGCCTGGAAAATTTATTATTTAATTAAATTTATACGCTGCCCATCTCACTGTCAGCGACTCTAAGCAGCTTACAACATAAAAATGCAATATAAAAGACTGAGAACATTAAAAACATTCAACATTAAGAATTTAAACATTAAAAATTCACAAAGAACTAGAGAAAAAGGGACCAATGCATAAACGGGGTGGAGGAGGAGCAACTAAATTTAATTTTTAATGTGTGCCAATGGGCCCACAGTAAAAAATGACACTAAAGGTTATCTTATCTTATTTCCTAATCTGCTAACCACCTCCAGAGTGGGACATTCCTTTCCCACAATTTATTGCTATCCAACTTGGTATATATCATGACTAATCGTGTGAGGCTGATCCAACATAGTGTCCCCATTATAGCTTCTGAGTTGAAATGGTTCCTGTTCTGACTTTGATTTAAAACGTTCCATAAATCAAATCAGATAGACACTCCAAGAAATGATTTTATAACAAGAAATATATTTATTATCAGATAGGTTACTTGCCTTTACGACGGATGCCCCTGACATTACATCTCCTGTTCATTTCTATCGGTAAAAAGATGAAGCTCTCCCTTCATACCATCTCTATAGCAATACAGGCTCATCGGGTGACATCTGATGGGCCATGCTTCTCTCAGAACAAAGACATTCCAAACTGGCTTGTGCTCAATGCCCTTTAAAACTCCTCCCATTGACCTAAACTCCTCCTATTGACCTATTACTAACATACTGACACATGCTCTCTAGTTAGAGTTACATAGAGCTATACAAGGTTACATGGATCTATATGGTCCAGAATACTCCCCGCTTGGAAATTTATATTTCCACTACTTACTAACTGAATAGCAAAGGATATAGCATTAAGCATACAGTACTCAATGTTAACTAACTTGTGATTACATAGGTAAAAACCTGGTATCAGCATGCATAACTATTGGTAAATATAAAACATGCACTATCATGCAAGAAATAAACAAGTGTTACATCAAACAATGCATAAACACAATACATCATTTGAGGTTTTATCTTCTGGTTCAGTCTTCATCAGCTACGGTGCCAAATTGGTGATCAGCCTGGTACAAGTGTCTTTGAGTCACGACCTGACTCACGTGGCTTCACGATCTGGAACTCAGCTTGCCAAAGTAGTTCATCAGCTGGGTGGGCCCAGTGTGCAAGTCCCATGGGCCAATAGTTCTGGTATGCGTTCTTGTCTGTAAGTGAGACAAGGCCTTCTTCCTGTAAAAGAAACTGGAACCAAATCTGGAACAGAAAAACTGGAACCCAAAGCTTCTCAGGAACAAAGGGAACTGGATTCACAGGGTACTCAGGAACTGAAGAACCTGGAAAAACAGGAACAGCTGGATCTGGAAACACAGGAACAGCTGGGGCTGAAGAATCAGGATCAGCAGCTGGAACTGAAGGATCAGGAACAACAGCTGGAACTGAAGGATCAGAAACAACAGCTGGAACTGAAGGATCAGGAACAACAGCTGGAACTGAAGGACCAGGAACAACAGCTGGAACTGAGGGATCAGGAACAACAGCTGGAACTGAAGGATCAGGAACAACAGCTGGAACTGAAGGATCAGGAACAACAGCTGGAACTGAAGGATCAGGAACAACAGCAGCTGCAGAAGACTCAGGATACTCAGGAACCGAAGTATCTGGAACCATCGATGGAGTACTGAAGATGGCTGCTACTGTTGTCATCAGGGTAGTGAGGACTTCATGCGTGGGTGTGGGTGTCTTTAACGACATAGAGTCCATGATTTCGCGGGGTGCACCAATCATGTGCTCCCACGCTTCGCCTCTGCGCGCTTCGCCCATGTGAGATGTATGGGGAAGGCAATTTTTGGCCGTCAGGCATTTGTCAATCACTGGGTCATGGCAAATGTCTTCAATAGTCTGTAAGTCCTTGCAGACTCCTTTAATGTTCGTTCTTGGGATGCTAAGGCAAGTGATCAAGACGATCAAAACTATGCCTAATCTCAGGTGCTTCCGCTTAGACAGGCGCTTGAAGCGGATTGGTTGACGTTTACTGGGTGCCTGAAGTTGAAGGTTGGCACGTTGATCTGGAGTTGAAAGTACATAGCATTTTGGTCTCTGTGGCCTTTGTTTGTTTGAACAGACCAAGAAGTCAGGACTTTCTAGCCAGGTCAAATCTGTTAACTGTGTGGCAAGGTTGGGCCACTTCACTTGGTTCACAAAGTTGTTGCCTGTTGGCACATGTTGCCATTGTTCAGGGCTCAAAGATGTTTCAACTCTTTTCATTCTGTTACCTACATAAACATAGAAATGTCTGCTTTGTTTGTAGATGTAGCTTGACATCTCCTTGCTGTCTGCGTAGAAGGTGGTAGACTGTAGTTCAAGGCGCAACGTCTTCGCTGTTGAGTTGGTGAGCTTTACAGCCAAAGTGGTACCACATAGTTCTAACTTTGGTACTGTGTGGCCTTCGTGTATTGTTAGTCTCGCTTTTCCAAAGAAGACACCGAGACTGCAGCTCTCCCCGCTGTAGACTCTGATGTATCTTGTGGTTGCAAACAAGATGACGTAAGTGTGGCTCTCCCCGCTGTGACACATCTTAAGGCTGCATTGTCCTTCGTTGACATATCTAAGGAAGCATACAATTCTTTCTTTTGCACTGTGGCGGGTGAGCTGGAAACATACGTACACTGCACTTGCATACTCTTGGGGCATTTTGGAAGTATACTCCATGACTCCCGGTCTTGCAGACGTTGTTTGTCTTGTTTGTCCTCTATGGACAAGGCTAAGTTGTTGTGATTCTGACTGGTTTGGAACACTGTTGCTTCCAAAGCAGGTTTGGTTGTCTCAAGCGCACAGTGTTCTAGGTGTGGTTTTTGGTGAGGTGCTATTCCAGTACTGGGAATGGAGGTGTTTGATATGCTCACCTGGGTTGGGGTTTGCAT